ATCATTTTCAAAGAGTTTGTCTGTTTAGCCTTGTGATTATTTCATCCCTGGTTAATCCTAGAATGCCAGTGTTAAATTTTCAATAATTAAATAATACCAGGTAGTACGGAGCCATAGTGACACCACGCTGGTTGAAGGGATATTGTTTGTGGCATATTGAAAAGTAGTTTTCATGTTAAAATATTTATGTAGTTTTATTGTTAAAGGGATGCTTTTGTGTAGGACAAGATTTTCTTTGTTTAAGAGATCGTATGAATTAGTAAGACTTTTTGTTAAAGGTTTTTTTCTATATGTATTTTGCATCCTCCAGTGCATCCGGAGGTTTGATTCCCGTGGTGGACAAATCAAATAGCTAGTCCAATGTGGCTCTGCTCTAGAACAAACAAAAACAAAATGTATGTATTTTGGTTAAATGATATTTTTATCGGGTGAAATTATGCATTACGTTTTCCTTAATTAAGAGTTGTGACGTCTGATTGGCATGTAAGAGTTTTTCAGGAGTAAGTGAAAGTTAACATACTCCTCGCCCAGAGTGTGATTTTAATTTTATTAGTTTTAGAATCAAAATTAATCTATAGCTTAAGAACAAGATTCAAATGGTGAAGAGGAGAAAGTGTGGTATCTAAACGCATCATGTATTTGTATCTTTTAGTTTTGTTATAATATTTTTATTATGAATTTATCATTTATTTTATACATGTAAATGTTTCACATAACACGAAGCCGAGAAAACTATTAAATCAATTTTGTTCTTCTCGAGTAGATAACACCTGTCTTGCCTGGGAGATGAGAGGTATTGCTGCAATACTGCATGTTGTACAAGGGTTTCAACAACAGTGTATTTCAATGGTTTTTCAGGTGATATCCCAATGTTATGTCCTCACCTATGTTTGAATGAGACTGACTAGTCACATGGTTAGTGCTAATGAATACGACATTTCTTTTGATGTCAGGAATGCTGGATTTAGTCAGTTTGGTACATGATCTCAGCTTGATTAATTGATGACAAAAGATCCAGTAAAAATGACTTTCCCATGTCATTAAAGTAAAGTAGACTTAGCATGTTTGTATTTTTATAGGTAATATAATAAAGACTCACCATTACATTGTTCCACTTTGTTTCCACTTTCTATGTCATTCCCATATTATTAAGTGGACCTATTCCATTGCTCTGAGGCTACTCAATATCCCCTGAATATACCACACAGGGATGGCTCACAATGAACTGGTAAAAGCTAAATATTAAAAGTTTCTTCACACTTCTGTTGTCAGTTCAACACACTCATCACAAACATTTGACCTTGTTTTATTTTGGTGTACAGAGTTCGCCTGTCTGTTTTTTGTTTAATAAAGGTTATTGTTTTACACATTTTGTGTATTAATTCTTTCCTTATCGACGAACTCATTCAGAGTTCAAAGAGAGACACACAGACTCATACTCTGTGACGTGATATTCTCCGAGTTCGATGGCCCAAGTGTTGGCGGTGAGTGTTGTTGTCTATCTGCTTTCCCTCTACTCTATCGCTTCACGGCCTGGCATGGCCAGGTGGTTAGGGCACTCGACTCGCAATATGTGGGTCGCGAGTTCGAATCCCCGTCCCACCAAACATGTTCGCCCTTTCAGCTGTGGGGGCGTTATAATGTGACGGTCAATCCCACTATTCGTTGGTAAAAGAGTAGCCCAAGAGTTGGTTGTGGGTGGTGATGACTAGCTGCCTTCCCTCTAGTCTTACACTGCAAAATTAGGGACGGCTAGCGCAGATAGCCCTCGTGTAGCTTTGAGCGAAATTAAAAAACAAACAAACAAAATATCGCTTCAAAACTAGGACGACTAGTGCAGTTACCGTATTTTTCGAAATATAAGACTCACCCTTATTTTGAGTTTTGGGGAAAAAAGCTACACATATATTATTCATACCTTTGGTGTAGAGGACGCAAGCAGATTTTGGCATCAAATTTTGGTGTAAAAAAGTACGTCTTATACACCGAAAAATACGGTAGCCATCGAGTAGCTTTGTACAAAATTCAGTAAACAAACAAATTCATTTTTCCTCTTGATCATGTTGTGTGAAAGTTATGTTCAGATAATGTAACGCACGTACCCATGAGGGTTCGGACGAAACCCCTATTTTTGTGATGTGAAAAAATTATGCTTATATAATTATAGCGCAGCTACTTATGGTATTTAACGTTCTCTACATAGTCTATATATTGTCACGTCTCTGTTCGTTTGTTAATATCCGGTATAAATTCTTTCCGAGGAACTTCAGTGATACAAGTTCATTTCTTAAATAAAACTAGTTTATCCTTTCTCGATACAACTTTG